TTTCTCTTAAATAACACATGTCAAGCACAGGCACTGAAGAGATGCACACCTCTCTTGTGCCTACCTCCCCATCTAGGATTTTTGGAAGATTACTCTATAATCATGCTACCCTCATTCATTTTTTTTTTTTTTCCAGCACAGATCACTGAGGATTAAAGCAATGCCTAGCTTGAAGGAATAAGTATCAATACATGTGTTGACCAAATGAAGGGATTAATGAGGGAGTGAGTATCGGCGGGAGGGGGAGAACAAAAACATTAAAAGCCATGTCCCCAGCCCTTAAATGACTTATAAAGGAAAAGGCACATGGGTACAGGGATAGTAACTAATACATTGAAATGCCAGATACTGAAGAAAGAAAAAGTAAAGACTCACTCCCTGCCCCATATCTAGTGTCAAAAGACAGACACATACCTATGTGTCATTCTATTTGGAAGTGCCCTATTATGAAGATACTGAGACTGGTACTAATGAAGTATAGAGAAAAAACAAACAAAAAAAATAACTGCTTAAGAAAGGCAAGACTTCACAGAAGAAATAAAATTTGAACAGGCAAAGAGAGGAAAAGGACATTTTTGGCAGAGAAATAAAAGAGGATTTGATCTATAGAATGTGCCAAAGCATTCTGGGAAACCTTAAATCCATTTGAACTTTTCTAAAGTCTGTAAATATTACACAAATTCTTAAAGAAAAACTTTTTTAAAAGTACTGAATCATTCTATTGACTATAATAAAAGTACTAATAATCAATTTTTTCTAACATATCTTATAACTCTTATATAAAAGCCTACTCTACAGTCTAAGCCTAATATAGTTGCATTTCATTTCTACATATTTTGCCTTCGGTCAGTTTTGATGAAAGAGTGAAAACACCACTCAATTTCTATTCCTTTTCTCTTGAGACTAGCAGCCAATTCCATTTTACAATATATTTAAAGCATTCAGAAGTCAAAATGTGTGGTATTTTCTACCTTTCCAAATTCGATGTTAAGCCAGTGGGCTGTTACCAGGCCAAGAAACCCCAAATTAGACAAAAGCTATCCATAGGGATCAGAAATTTGCCAAATGTCATAATTTAGAAAGAAGCTGTTAAAGATGGTTGTGGGGTTTTGGCACTGTGAATTTAAGCCATTCCATAATAGGGTTTGTATTTCATCTAATCAGCAAGTCGGAAACTATAAAAGTCTTGGTTGGGGGGATTAAAAATTTGGATTGTAGTATAGGAGTCTTTCCTTTCCTTCCATATGGTTCAGTAAATTAAAACTTCTAAATCTTTAAAAAAAAAAAAAAAGCCTCCTGAAAAGAATAAAACAGCCTTTAAAATCATATTTTTGGTACAGGAAGCCTAAGTATTCAGGCTTGAGAATTTTTTTTAGAAAGGTCACATGGTTTCTATATCTAGTACCATGGTCTAAGCATATACAGAATCACGGAAATTTAAGTTTATTTATTTTTTTTCTTTTCTAACTTTTTTTTTTTTTTTGATGGGCTAGAGGCGGGTGGGCAATGAATCAGACATCTGAAACTTTTAGATTTTTTTTTGAAGGTGGTCATTTATCAATTTAGTTTAGGTATATTAATTTAACACTTATGTGGAGATGTATGAATCACCACACATCACACAGAATCATCGGTACAGAAATGGGAAAAGGTTTTCATAGGGTAAAACAACTTTTCTCAGGTGATTAAACTAGAAGTATATGTAAATAGCAGAAATAGTGACTGTAATCTTCAATTCTTAGTTATTGTTCTTTCCCTTCCTTTGTTTTTTTCTGTCATTTGGACCACATATTGATTTCTTTCATAATTTCCTCTTTTACATTCTTTTATGTCCTGATTTTTCGTTCACATATAGGAAGATTTCATTACCTTCATTCTCCTGTCCTCCAAAGGAAAATCATGTTGCTATCATATCTTTAAATTCTATAAGCTCTTTCTTGCTTTTCTTGGTTTCTTTTTTTCATGGCATCCTGCTTCATAAAATGCTATAAGTTTCTATCTCTACGGATTATTATTTTTTAAAGATTTCTTCTGTTTCCGTAGATTTCCTTCTCCTAATAATTTGTTTTAGTTCCAATCTTTTTAATTTGTGTCTTTCCTGATATGATTGATGATTCTTGGTTGCCCGTTGATGTTTAAGAATGAGTTAATTAATAAAAAGCTGAATCGAGTTCCTAAGGCATAGATATGCATTCTAGATGGAATAGATTCACTGTGTTGTGTCTGGTTTGGGAGTCAGTCATTTACAGGGGACCTCTAAATGTAGGTATTTGAAAACCTTTTCTCTACTGCGATTTAGTTTCTCTAGATCTGAATTCAACAATTTCTTGAGAGGTAAGGTGTCAGCGAAAAGGGTGGGCTGGAGGAAAGGGGGAAAACCCTGTGTTGCTGGTATTCTGCATGGGATAGGGCAGGGGTATTAAGGATCTGAGCACTCCATGGCAAGACCCTCAGTCAGTCCTCTTTTCACTCCCCTCCTCATTCTGCCTTCAACTGTGCAAGCTGTTCTTGAATCCTGAACTTCTCTTTATTTACTTGTTCTACCTCTTAAAGGCCCCTTTCCCTTGCCTTGAAGGCAGGTGCCTAGTTGCTGGCATTTGTGGACGAAGGGGAGAGACCTGACTACTCCATTCATTGGCTGCAATTTACTACCCCATTTTATGTCCCTTAACTCACTCTTTTCTGTGTCAGCTGCCTCCATGTCTTGAGCCTCTCCAGGTTTCTTTGACGTAAGCCAGATTTCTTTTCATTGTTATCCCATTCCAAAGTTTATTTAGATTTTCATTTGCTTCTCTCAGGCAAGTCAGTTATAATACTTCCAATTGCTTTCTGAGTTGCAAAAATCAGCTGTAATCTCTTATCTATTGAAATCTCTCTTCCCAATCCTATTGTTCCTGTATACTATTCCCTTAATATTTTATTCATTAAAAGTTTAGTCTGATTTGCCCATATGATCACCAATTTCTTTGCCCAGTACTTTTTATGTCCCTCACTCCATCATTCCTTATAGATTTGTGTTTTTTGAAGAACATCTCCAGTAACTTCTTCAGCAAAAGGTTTTAGTAGACTAAATTTTATTTAATTTATTGGCTTGGGAATTCCAGGGTCATGTAAGTAAATTCAAAACCCAAAGCTTGGTAAAGGAAGGACAGGAGCAACAAATTCCCAGCAGATACTTTGTTCACTCTCCATAGAGATCCCATTCTGAGATAGGCAAACATTCGCGCTGCCTTATACTTGTAGACAAACTTACATTGTCCTTTCAACTGCAGGTATGAATTTCCCTGCCTTATTTAGGCATTTAATTCCTGCTTTTCCATTGGCCCAAAGCGTTGTTTCCTATTCTAAAAATAATGAAAACAAGCAAACAAAAACCACCTTCTCACTGGTTTCCACAACCGACCAGTAAATAATCCCAGATGAGCTACAGGACCAGCCTGCTGTTCACTGCACTGGTATTCAGTTACCACTTCATTTCTAGCTCCTAGGAACTTCTCTTACTACTCATGCTCAGTTTAGTGTTAAAAACATATCTGTTATATTTTATTAAGCAGAGCTAAGTATTTTCAGTGGGATGTTTTCTGGTTACTTAGTCTACCAATATGACTTTTTAATTTTTTTTTTTTTTTTTTTTTTTTTTTTTTGAGATGTAGTCTCACTCTGTTGCCCAGGCTGGAGTGTAGTGGCGTGATCTCGGCTCACTGCAACCTTGACCTTCTGGGTTCAAGCGAGTTGCCTGCCTCAGCCTCCTGAGTAGCTGGGATAGCAGGCACGCATTACCATACCTGGATAACTTTTGTGTTTGTAGCAGAGACAGAGTTTCGCCGTGTGGCCAGGCTGGTCTTGAACTCCTGACCTCAGGTAATCTGCCAGGCTTAACCTCCTAAAGTGTTATATGATTTCTTAAAGAGTATTTTAGTGGTATTTTAGAATGGATACTTGACCATTTTAAGTGTTATCTACCATCTTCTGTGGAAAGTAAAATGTTACTATTTTCGAAGTAATACAAAAATACTTTTCAATGAATTCACTTAGGAATCATCTTCCTGATCACTTGCTCTATGTTTTTCTAATATTCATTTATGTTTATTAATATTGAAGAGAGATTAGGTACTATAACTAAAATAATACAGATATTTGATTCAGACTAGGACTGTAGCCTAGTTCAATCACTTATTGTCTACTTGAGCTCAGAAAACTTACTTAAACTTTTAAACTAATCACTATTGTGTAAAATAAATACATTATTTTTACTTTGAAATATATGAAATTACCATTTTTATAGGTCATAGTGGTACAATACTAGTAATTTTTTACGCTCCATACTCATGTCACTTTCATGGAATGGTGACCTCCAAGGGCGCTTATCACATAGTAAGAGGCCATCGGATAGCCCTACTTCTCTTACAGAATGATTTCAATTAGAAGGAATTTCAGCACGCAGAATTTTATACAATGTTGGCTATTTACAATAATCAGATTTAGTTCTAAGTATAGCCAATTTGGGGCTAACACTGGTTTGCAGAATATAATATTTATGCAAATATCATTATTAGAACAAATTCATTAAGTAATTCCATATTTGGGATTCTCCATTTATATTTTTTTCCATTAAGTTACATCAAAGATCATGGCATCTCACATCTTTTCTGTTTGTTTTGTTTTTTTAAATTCTTTTAAAACTTTTCTATAGGTGCATAGTAGGTGTATATATTTATGGGATACAGGAGATGTTTTGATACAGGGATGATATGGACATCGCACATCTTATCTAGACCAAGATGTGAGATACAGACATCTCACATCTTATCTAGACCAAACCTCACACGCAAAGTAACACATTTTTCTATATTTTCTGTACAGGGTTCTAACTTAGTATCACTACCATTACATCCCTAACAGCTGAGGTAACTGGCTCTCAAACAGTACCTCAAACCCCATCTATCGCAGTCTGCGTGGAGAAAACCAAGTTTTGAAGACCAAGGAAGGCAGTTACTCACTGTTAGAGCTAGCAGCTTCCCATAGGTGAGATGAGCAGGGATGTGGTCAGTCTTGGATCTCAGTGATTCCATATACCAATGCTCTGCTTCGGGGAGTTTGCTTAAACGCATATACGCTTCACCTGGAAAGAGAATTAATCATGAAGATCAAAGGGAGGATACAGCTGTCCACATTATTTGCAACAGCATCTTCGTCATCATCATATTGTGTGGAATTTCAGATGCTGTGGGAAGTATTTTCGTTCACGTTCTCATCTGATTCCCAAAGAAGTCATCATGATTCCCATTTTGCAGATGAAAAATCATGTGCTTGGAAAATGAAGTAAAATGGCTCAAGTAAAAAATTTAGTAAGTAGTAAAGCTTTGATTTTTAACATAGAACATCTGATTCCCAGACATATGTCCTTTGTCATTTCTTTTCCTTTTTGAGAGCGATTGAGAGCTATATTTGTTCTTTATTCTTTTGTTCTTTTTTATTCACATTCATTTATTCCTTTAGAAATTCAAGTATTTATAGAATAACCAAGTGGAGAGCCTTATAAAGGAACTATAAGAAAAAAGTGTGAGATTCTATCCACAAAGGACTTACCTTTTTGAGAAAGAGTAATTGAAAGAGTTAAAAATATATTTAGATTAAACACTGCTGCTAATTTCCTTAAAGAAACTATTTGAATTTTATATGTTAATAAGTAAATTAAGGCCAGGCGAGGGGGCTCACACCTGTAATCCCAGCACTTTGGAAGGCCAAGGCAGGCAGATAGCTTGAGTCTAGGAATTAGGGACCAGCCTGGGCAACATGGTGAAACTCCATCTCTGAAAACATTAGGTGGGTATGGTGTCATGTGCCTGTAGTCTCAGCTACTCAGGAGGCTGAGGCAGGAGGATCACCTGAGCCTGGGGAGATCAAGGCTACGGTGAGCCCTGATCGCACTACTGCACTCAAGCCTGGGTGAAAGAATGAGACACTCTCAAACAACGAAATTATTTTAATTAATTAAATAATTAAATTATTAATACAATTAATTCAGTAAATAAAATTTACCAGTTTCATTTGGAAAATCCAATAAACAGACAACAATGATCAAGTATGCCCAGCACTACATACAACATGAGTGTGAGGCATTTTGGCCATGAGTCATTACTCTCTAATAATATATATTTTATCTACCAAACAGCATTTTACTAACAGCCAAGCAGGATAAAAAGGTTGGAAATAAAGCCAAAAGTATACCAGCTGCCTGTGAATTATCATTCCCTTTTCCCTTATATGATTATATGGTAAACAAAATATTCAACTGATGCAAAAATTGTATTTTAAGATAATTTATATATTTAAGTTAAATACTGTAGTTTTACTAAGCACTGCAAATGCAGAGACACTACTCAGTTTCTGAGACCAAGCAGTAAACTGGTAACTTGCACTATTCTCCAGACAGACCTTTATATATAAGCCTAAGTAATCATAATCATGATAGCTTTTTCTTTTAGAGGCGTAATCAGAGGCTTTTCGTAAATGAATTACCCACATTGGATGTACATTTTTTGCTTCAAAGGAAGAACTCATTCCCTTTGCTTTAATCATATTCAACTTGTATTGCCATGGTATTGTAAATACAAATATGTTTGACAAAGTGAATTGGTTTGAGTCTCTTGATCTTTTGAATGCCCTTAGTTTTGCTGGATAGTGAAAAACATTGGTAACAAATAATACACAGTATGCACAGAAATATACATTTTTACCCACTCACACATATCGATGTTTCTCTAGTTCGATGAACAATCCTTAAACAATATTATCATTAAAATGATAGCTGAAAAATGTCTTTTTTCCCTCAAAGTTTAAAACATCTGCACTTAAGAAGTTGGTGCAATTATATGTCTAAGGAAAGACAAAAGAAATACTGAAGCAAAGATCAAAGACTAGAATAAAATACACAAAAATGCTGTAATTGTTAAAATGATAGATTATAAACTGATTTTTAAAAAATTTCCATAAATTTCTATAATAATTTTATTGTTTCTATTTTCATATCTTTATAAACACTAACACACTGTCAGATGGACTTTTTTTTTTTTTGCCACATTGAACTAACAAATGTTTCCAAATAAAGCAAATAATAATTTTTCTTAGGAAAAGTGAATTGCTTTATATTAAAACAACACTATATAAAATTTATGTAACAGAAAAGATACACAAACCCTAAAATACTGAAAAATGTAAAGCAATTAATGATAAAACATATCCATATATTTATATCTTAAATTGATTATAAAGCCAGAAGGAATATGGGCCTAAATTACAGGTCCCATACGAAATCAACCTGAAATTAACTTTGGCTCTTCAAGTGCTTACAGGCCAGTGTAAAAAAGTTGTACAACCATTGCATTTAATATAGCTTCTACTTTTCATATAAAAATTTAACTGATTTTCAGAATAACAGTAGGTCTTCTGTACAGAAAAAGAGTATGAAGATAACCCCAATTCCAGAGCACTTTTGAAATAGAAATCTTTATTATTTTGTTAATATCTAAAAATTATTGCAGAAAGTATACTTGCTTTTTTTCCAAGTCAGAATTCTATCATTATTAAATTCTATTTTAAATAAAATATTATTAATTTGCTCAATAATTAATGACTGGTCCATTTTCTTCAGTAAGAACTCCTAAGCAACTTATTAATTTGTAAAGCTTGTGAGATAAGAAAATCTTAAAGGCCATAAATAAGTAATGTAATGTATCATGTATCTTGGCAAGTATATGAAAACTGATAAATAAGTAGCCTACTCAGGTACTACTTATTACAACTTTGAAGAAATTCATGTAACCATTCATTGTGTCTTAATAATAACCATGATGACTATGATAATAATTGAGTGTTTACTATGGATTACAGTAGCGAGTTACAGGTGACAAATGTCTGACTTATGTTCACCCACTCCTCTTACTCCACACATTTGAGCATGTAGAATTTGTTCTTACTTAGCCTCCCAAGTGACCTTAACACATTGCCCCACTCAACCATTACCAATTGATCGAAGTACATTTGCAAGATGAAACAGTTTTGCAATCTCCATATTAGTTGCTTTATAAATGTATCTCATTGCTTACCAAGGAATGTCACTATTTGGATTTCACTGATGGAAAAAATTGAGAAGCAGAGTGGCTAAATTATACACTCAAAATCATGAGTATGTAACACGGTAGAACTGCAGTTTAAACTCAGGATTACCTGACCTTAACACATTGCCTTCACCGGCTAATAGAAAATAGTCATAAACTTTCCAAACCCCCAGCTCAGGTGAGAATTATGCTCTCTGTTTCTCACTCAAAGAAAATTATTTTCTAGCTTGTGATACATCAGCCAGCCCATTCATTTCACTTTGCCTTGGGCTTATCTATTGAATTAAGAGAATAAGGAAGAGCAATGGTAATCTATGACTGACCTTTAAAAATGCTTTCTACGCATATGTAATTCAATTCTTAAGAGGGAAATATGTGACACTTTAGTTCTAAGTCTATAATATGTATTTTAGTTCTAAGGCTAACCTTAACACAAAAAGGGTGTATATAAGTGGTAATAAAATCAAGATGCAAAACCTAAAATGCAAAAAAAAAAAAAAAAAAAAAAAAAAAAAAAAAAATAAAAGATTGTGGATAACTTAAATGTTTTAAAAAAGGTAGCTCAATAAAGATTTAAGCAACAAACACTATAAGAACAAGTACTTGCCCCAATCCTACACTGGCAAGGTTAAGAGCTTTACATTTCTCATTTCTAATCCTAGAAAGAGGTTGGAATACCCATGTTATGAATGAAGACAAAGGCTCAGGAATGATCAGTGACACGCACAAGGACAGTTAATAATCATATCCTAAAATGATTTAATGGCTTCTAAACCATGATTTTTTCCCATTGCATCAAGCTGCCTGCCATATAAAATTTATTATTTCCTGAGTACCTACTAACATCTTAAATACATTATTTTCTACCTTTACATTATCCCGACACTGTTATTACCAATCTCATTTTACAAATGAACCGACTATGCTTCAGAGAGCTTAACAAATTGACTCAAGATTTTTTTTTTTTTTTTTTAAGAGCAAATGTTAAATTCAGGATTCAGATTAGAGTTTTCTCTGGCTCGTTCCACTATACCATTCTACACAAATACTATACAAAGTATTCAGAAAGGGAATAAACTATTGAATAACTGCAAAAAGTACCATCAGTGCATTTGGTGTTAGGACACAGTGGTATACATGGGATCCTACAAGTGCTAAAATCATAAAAATTCCATAAAGGAAATGGCCACAGGAAAAGAAAGTTCAATAAATTCAATAAGGAAGGAAACGTAGACACTTGGTCAGGAATAGGACAGGAGATAAAGGTTAAGTCATATTCTCTGGTACTGTAATTTTTCTTAACTTACAATAATAGAAAAAAATGTTTATGGTGCCCAGGAGGAAAGAAACAACGGTGACTATTTTCCTTTCTCATTCTGTAAGAAATGACATAATAAAGGTACTTTCATAAGAATGAGAAGATATGCTGTGCGATGATAGAGTGATCAGGTTCATCACCTAGATTTATTTCCAATTCACTCACAGACAAAAGGAATTATTTGGATGTCTCCAGGCTGGCTTCAGGCAGGCATAAACCGTTTCAGATGTAGAACAAATAATGTCACTCTCTCTCCCTAAAAAGCCCCAGGTCTAAATAACCCAGGCAAAGGCTAACTCCTTAAGGAAAGAATGTTGGGTTGCTGATGATGTAATAGTCTACATCTCACTGACTCTTATGTTTCAAATTACTGGACAGCTCCTGCTTGCAGATAAAGAATAGAGCATGTAGTGAGAATTATTATTAAGACTCAGTATAGATTTCCTAATTTTTAAAGAAACTTATGTGAAAAGTAATTATCCCTTCCTTAACTCCTACAGTAATTGTTAAATGCCTTTTTAAAAAACTCTTGAAAATATATCTTGCACATAAATCCAGGTTAACCAACATGAACAACGCATATGATGGTGTACATAAAGGTTAACTAGATTATCATTTGTTGCTACTTACAATCTAGTGACGAAGAAATAATTTATCGGTGTTCCTCAAAGTTTGCTTGTAGGT